AAAGTTTATCGAGTGTCCACCAACGCTTTCGACAAGTGGTATCGAGAGCTTGGTTCAAGTTTACATGGCGGTGAAAATGGCCAACATGATTAAACCACAAATCCCACTGTTGACAAATGCAAACTATGGAAATTGGAGTATCCAAATGAAGGCCTTACTCGATTCCAATATTATTAGGATGTTCTCGAGGAAGGTTATGTCGAGCCCGAAAATGTAGTAGTAGAAGCAACCTTGACCAATGAAGAGAACGGGAACTGAAGGAATCCCGCAAGAAAGAAAAGAGGGTGTTGTTCTTTATTTTTCAAGGAGTTGAAGAATAAACCTTTGAAAAAATCTCAAATGTGAAAACTGAAAAGCAAGGAGTGGGAGATTTTACAAAAATCTGTTCAAGGTGCCGAAAAAGTAAAAAAATGTATGTTTACAATCTCTAAGAGCTTAGTTTGAAATGTTGAAAAACAAAAAATGCAAATGGTATCGATGATTATGTTAGTTGTGTTAAAGTGGTTGTAAATAAAATGAAAAAAATGGTGAATCACTCAACGATATCAAAGTGATGGAAAAGATTTTGCGACCATTGACGAGAAAATTCGACTACGTTATCGTGGCAATAGAAGAATCGAAAGATTTGTCTCAGATATCAATCGATGAGCTTGTTGGTTCACTTCAAGCCCATGAGTAGAAGATGAAACAAAATGAAGATTCTGAAAATTTGAAGCAAGCTCTACAAATTAAGCTGAATATCCACGAAGGTGAAGTTAGTAGCAGCCACACACGGGGTTGAGGAAATCATCATAGTTATCGTGGAAGATATAGAGGTGAACGAGGAACACGTGGGTATGGAGGTCGATCATATGCCACTAACCAAACGAGTGTAAATTACCAGACATCAAACAATGGACAAGGATTTAGAGGTCGAGACAGATATAAACAGGGAAATAAATCTCATATATAATGCTATAATTGCAATAAATATGGCCACTATAGTTATAAGTGTATATCAACTCCCAAACAAGAAGAAAGAAATAATGTAGCAGCAGCTGAAGAAGAAAAAGTTGAAAATTTCATATATTCCTCGCTTACAAAAGAAATGAAGAATTCAAGAAAAATATTTGGTATCTTGACAATTGTTCCAGTAACCACATGTGCAGTTGAAATGAGCTGTTCGTGAAGTTAGATAAAACAATTCATGGTCGAGTAACTTTTGGTGATGATTCGCAAGCAGAAGTTAAAGGCAAAGGTGAAGTCATGAATACTCAGAAAAATGGTGAAAAGAAGTACATCTCAAATGTATATTATGTACCAGCTTTGAAAAGTAACATCATCAACATTGGTCAACTTCTAGAAAAATAATACGAAGTGGAGATGAAGAATCACTCTCTTGCCATAAAAAATAAAGATGAAAAATTAATTGTCAAAGTTAATATGACTTAAAATCGTCTCTTTACAATTGATATCAAGTCAAGAGAAGTAGAGTGCATGAAGTCATCAATTAAAGATGGTTCATGGTTATGGCATTTAAGATATGGAGATCTTGGGTTTTCGATTTTGAAGTTCTTATCGAAGGCGAATATGGTTAAAGGATTGACAGAAATCGACCATTCAGATCAACTATGCGAGGCATGCGTTATAGGAAAGCAACACAGACAAAGCTTCAAAGTTGACAGATTCTGGAAAGCCCAAAGATCGTTAGAGATAGTACACGACAACATAGATAGTCCTTTTGACATACCATCACTTGGAGGTAACAGATATTATCTAACCTTTATTGATGACTTTAGAAGAAAATTTGGGTCTATATTTTGAAATAAAAATCAGAAGCATTGGAAGAATTCAAAGCAATTATGGAAAAGCAAAGTGGACAATATTTAAAGATACGCAGATCTGATAGATGAGGCGAGTATACATCAGATTTATTTAGAGACTTTACAAAGAGCATGGAATCATCAATCAATTAACAGTTAGATACAAGCCTCAAAAATGGAGTAGGAGAAAGAAAGAATTGCACAATTCTTGACATGGTAAGGAGCATGATAAAAGGTAAGCACCTATTGAGAAATATTTGGGCAAAAGTTGTTCGTTGTGCAATTTATCTACTACAACGATGTCTAACAAAAAGTATGACGTATATGACACCAAATGAAGCATGGAGCGGTCAAAAACCAGGAGTTTGAGACCTCAAAATTTTTGGATGCATCGCATACACCCACATTCCTAAGCAATTAAGAAAGAAGCTCGATGCCAGAGGAGAGACTTGTATTTTCATCAACTATGATAAAAGAAGTAAATCTTATCGACTATATAATCCTCTTACCAAGAATGTAACAATTTCAAGAGATGTTGCGTTTGACGAGGCAGAATACTAGAAATAGAAAAAAAAAGTTAAAGGATTATTTTTTATAAAGATAAAGATGATGACGATATTATCGATCAAGATGAAAAAGATGATGATCAAAGTCCTTAACAAAATTCAACTACATCACCATCATTAAACAACAGTGGTGATGGTACAACATAATAGAAAGTCCTTAAGTACCTCCTACAGAAATTCGAAGATCTACAAGATAAAGAAGGATACCAGAAAGGTATAATGATTATGAATTACAAAATGTTTCACTTTTTTTGCTTATTTGCAAATAGTGATCCAATAGAATATGAAAAATTGATTGAAGATGAAAAGTGGAATAATGTAATGGATGAAGAAATTACATTAATAGAAAAAAATGATATGTGGGTGCTAACAAGTCGACCAAAAGGTCACAACCCAATTGGAGTCAAGTGAGTTTACAAGACAAAGACTAACAAGGAAGTAAAAGTGGAAAAGTATAAAGCAAGACTAGTTTCCAAAGGTTACAAACAAAGACAAAGAATAAACTACAATGAAGTATTTGCTCCAATATTAAGAATCAGGGCCATCAAACTTATCACAACAGTAACAATACAAAACAAATGGAATATTTATCAGATAGATGTCAAGTTAACTTTTTTAAATGTCTACCTAGAAGAAGTTTATATCGAGCAACCACCTGGATACATTAAAAAAGGCATGAAAATAAATTTTATCAATTGAAGAAAGATTTATATGGACTAAGAAAGCTCCAAGAGCGTTGAATATGATAGTAGATGAATATTTCCAGAGAAATGGGTTCATGAAGGGTCCATACGAGTATGCCTTATATACGAAGAAAAATGAAGATGTGATATCATGATCGTGTCCTTATATTTGGACAACATTGTAACACCCTTACACGTATTCAATTCCTAAATATGAGTCAGAATGTCACAAACTAAATTACTAACATTTACTAATAACAATTTATCCAAATAATACTCATTACCATATATTTTAATCTAAGTTTAATCACCATTAAACAATTAATCATTTATTGATTTATCGAGTAATATCAATTTATATATATATATATATATAATCAAACTAATTTCGATTTCAAGCAACAACTTAGTAGTTCATAGCACGTAATTACAATGTTGCGTTGGAATAAATTTTATAAATTTTTCCTACACTATATGTACATGAGTTGGATGGATTCAAACATGTGCTTTCAATTTTTTTGTGTTATATGTTTGATGTATTTATAGACATCAATCAAAACCGAGATCAAACTAGCAACAAAGGAAAGGAAAATAATTGAGCTTAAACCTTAGTGAGGCTTAAATTTTGACTTGTATAAAAAGTGTCACTGTGAGTGCAATGAATACATAACATGATACATGGATGTTTTATACATCATTCGGAAGACTTGAGATGAGTCTACCTTGTTTATATTGTCATATATTTATGTCATTTAGCATATATTTGACATGTTCTAAATATGTCAAAAGTTGAATATAAATGCATGGATCACTAGTTTATATATGATATTTATTATGAATTTTATTTTCGGTATGAACTGCCCAATGTTGAATTATGTTGATATACATTGTCATGGATGAAATAAATATAGACTATATGCCCAAGTATATCATTGAGGGATAATGGTATAGTTGGTACACCATTGAGTAGCACCAAGCTACATATTTCATTTAGCACTATAGAGTATATAAATGACACTTAGTGCATATGGTGGGCACAACCTTATGTGTATTATGATGGGAATGACCTTATGTGTATTAACACTTTGGTGTATATTTTGACTCGTATACCTATGGTTCTCATAGGCTTATATTTGGACTATGGTTATTGGTTAATAAATGATAAACATGTGAATAAGCTTATGAGCTTTTTGAATGAATGAAAAATATATTAGTAAGAAATTTTATATGTGGTTTATATCATGTTAATATATGGTAACATGACTAAAATACAGGTAAAGTGATTATAATGCACTGATTAATGTTATTTATTTATATTTATGTGTTGTATTCCATTGACTATTACTATGATTGTCTCACTAAGTGTATACTTAGCGTGTGATGATTTTTTTCGCTTAGATAAAAAGCAGGAATCATAGTAAGGATTACTTTGCATCCTATTTATCAAGTAGTATATCTACAGTATCATTAATGACATATATTTGATGTGTTTTAATTTTACTAGCTTGGCATGTATATGTTAGTAATGAATGATCATAAACTAGTTTAGACTTAGTTGTAATGGTTTATAAACTAGTTTATGTTATTAAAATGAATGATATATAGTTATATTAGTGTTGAAAATGGTTAAATGAATTGCAAGTATAATATTCGTAAACAAAAGAATAAAAATAGAGAAATAGATTAAGGTTGGATTTATGATGTTATAATATTTTTATTTAGTTATTAACTATTAAGTTGCTGCTTGAAATCGAAATTAATTTGATTAAATATATATAGAAATTGATATTACTCTATAAATCAATAAATGATGAATTGTTTAATGGTGATTAAACTTAGATTAAAATATATGGTAATGAGTAATATTTGGATAAATGTTTATTAGTAATTTAGTTTTTGACATTCTGACTTGTATTCGGGAATTGAATACAAGTAAGGGTGTTACAGACATGATTTTCAAGGGAAATATTCCAGGTATATTCAATGATTTCAAGAAAGCTATGGCTAAAGAATTTGAAATGACAGATATTGGTGAAATGCCATACTTCCTTGAAGTAGAAGTAAAGCAAATGCAAGATGGAATATTTATTTCACAAAAGAAGCACACTGAGCAAATTCAGAATGAAAGATTGCAAGTCGATAGCTACTCCTACAGAACCATACATGAAATTAAGTGTAAATTCAACAAGAGATCCAATGAACCAACCTTGTTTAAAAGCATCGTTGGAAGTATAAAGTATTTGACTATCACACAACCAGATATTACATACGTTATAGGATTGGTAAGCATATTTATGGAGAAGCCAAAACAAGATCATTGGATTGTAGCTAAGAGAATTTTAAGATATGTCAAAGGCACGATGGATCATGGTTTGTTCTACACACATTCAGAAATTCGAAGTTGGTTGGTTATTCTTATAGTGATTATGGAGGAGACTTAGATGACCGAAAGAGTACTTCTGTATATTTGTTCCATATTAGTTCTCCAGCATTTTCATGGTCTTCAAATAAGCAATAAACGATAGCTCTTTCAACATGTGAAGCCGAATACATAGCTATTGCAACGTGTACTTGCCAAACAATGTGGTTAAAAAATATTTTTGAATGAGTTAAACTTGGCTCAAGAAGAACCAACTATAATTTATGCGGAAAACATGTCTACAAATATCTCTTGCCAAGAATCTTGTCTCCCATAGTAGAAACTAACACATTGATACAAACTATCACTTTATACGGGAGCAAGTGAAGAACGAAATCGTAGGATTAGTCTACTGCATAACTAAAGATCAATTAGCATATATTTTTATGAAGTCATTTAAAGCAAACGTATTCTACCGGCTGAAAGAAAGACTTGGAATGAAAATCAGGTTTAAGGAGTATGGAATATCAACCCTGCTTTCCTTCCATGTGGTAATTAGAATAGAGTTGATTTGACAGCAAAGTGGCCAACAACTTTTGTGGATAAAAACAATGGTTAAATTCAAGCACAAGTAAGAAATACTTTATTGTTAAGAAGCAAAACGTGGCAGTTTGGATGAGGCAGCCATGAAGTTCATTACAACAAGCAATTTGACATAGTAATGGGAGAAGAATTTGGAAACATCTAAAACTTTCATTTAGCGGGTTAAGTACTCTTATAATTAGGCGCTTTAGCTTTAGTTTAATGTATGTTGAGTGAAATGTGAGTGAGTGAAAAAGAAAAAACGAGAGAGACTTGGGAGAGCTTAGCAAAACTTGTTAGTGTTTGTAAACTAGCCAAATTTAGTGTGGCATTTGTACTTGTGTTTTGTTACGTATTAATATTATTTTACTAGTTATAAAGTTTATCGAGTGCTCACTAAAGTGACAAAATCTCATATTGATCTTACAAAAAGAATTCAATCCCCAAAATCAAACCGAACCTGAAATTAGCCGTTTTTTATTAATATAAGGTGATTACAAGTAATAGTATTTGTTCTGAAAGCTCTCAATCATTTAACAATTGACACTCAAATATCCTGCTATGGTTGGTGCTCGAACCCAAGACCTCTAGGGATAACAACTTTCCTTTTAATCACTGAGATCGTTTGGTTTATGACTGAAATTAACCTTAGATGAACTATCCAAGTAAGTTTAAAAATCAAATTAACCTAATATAAATTGATCTGACTTAAGATCAACAACTTATTCAAATTCAGATGTGTTGTTTATCATTTGATTTTCATTTTCGTGATAAACTGGTCGCATGTGAATAATAAGGTAACTTTTGTTGACCCTGTTGGTGTAAAAATTGTGTATGAATATTTCTTCATCAATATCTGAGAAAAGTGTCAACTGATCTAAATAGTGGGATCATATTTTTGAGTTTATTTTTTAGAATTTTTTATTCACTTTAATTAATGTGCGACTTCTTTACAGTCTCATACCATATTAATTTAGGATTTGAATTGATCGTAGTTTTGTGAAGGCTTTTATTGTAATATTTGAGAGATAATTTTATTATTTCGCACAAATCAATTTATTTGAGAAATATTGTAAATATGTTATTAAAATTTTTAAAATTGTGTTTATATCGAGTGTTAAGTGACCAATGGTGATTATTTAAGAGAGAATAATATTATACGAGAATAGACCATAACTAACCGATATAGTCAGATTAAGAGTTCATAACTCTTGTACTACAAATATTTAGGCATGGAAACGAACTGAACGAACACGAACGGGGTATGTTCATGTTCGTTCGTTTAACTTTAACGAGCAAATGAACGAACACGAACATAACCGGACGAAAAATTTCTTGTTCCTATTTGTTCGTTAAAGAATGTAGATTGTTCGTGTTCGTTCATTTAAATGATAAACGAACACAAATGAATGAACATAAACGAATGGATGTAAACGAACATAAGCGAACATAATAAATGAACGTAAACGAACACAATAAATAAACATAGTGAACGTAAACGAACATAAATGAATTTTTTTTTCTTTTCTAACAATTTTAGGATTATATTTTATTTAATTGTTTTGAGCTTTTTTTATTTGTATTTAAAATTAATTGAATTTTAAAATATTTATGGATATCATATTAAACTTTATTGGAATTTAATATTTTAAATGAATCTAGAGATATTGGGCTAAACATAAATGAATGCACATAAACGAACGAACATAAACAAACATATTACCGAACGTTCACGAACGTAAATGAACGAATGAGCCCTCTGTTCATGTTCGTTCATTTAGTTAAATGAACACAAAATATTGTTCATGTTCATTTGTTTAATAAATAAACGAACATAAACGAACTTCTCACTGAACGGTTCACGAATGATTCGTTAAACGTTCGGTTCGTTTACATGCCTACGAATATTAAAATAATTTTTCTATGTGTGAGATTATATAAAGATAAACTCACTAGTCAATTTGAATTGAAAATAATCTTTTATGTGTTTTTATTTATATTTTGATTATTCAATAATTCATTCGGTATCAGTTGACTTAGACACTATCCGATATAACGACATTAAATAAAATAAAAATAATGTGTGTAAAAGGAATATGAATTCGTGATAGTCGAATTGGAAAATATATAGATTATATGTACATATCAATCATAATTTTCTACCAAGTGGTTAAAGAGATGATTATTATCTTTAAAGATTTCGAGTTTGAGTATTAATATTTACAAATATAGACATTTGAACGTTTATTGTCAAATGATATAAAACCTTTAAAACATATATTATATTGTAATTGCCTCAGTTCAATAAGAAAAATTTAATACATTTAAAATCCTTTCAAGAAAAAAAAAACCAAATCAGTCTGTGAATTAGCAGTGCTTGTGTTCAGTAATGATATTTCCTTTTTTATCTCATCTTCTACGATAATCCAAATGACCTTAAAAGGCAGCATCAAACCACATACCATAGATCTTTCACTTTCCATTAAACTGCCTTAATTAATCAACATTGTAATCACCATTTATTATTATTATTATTATTATTACAAATAAACCCAATAGGCCCAAAATACAAATCAGAGACGACCAATTGCCAAGCCCTAGCCCAAGCCTGAATATAAACCCTAACTTAGCCTAACCCTAACCAAAAGCGCTAGTCGTCGCCGCCCACCGTTGAAAAGCAAGCCATCGTCGCCAGCCACGCCGAGCCATTCCAGTCACTGTGCCATCATCATCCCTGCAATCACCCAAAACCAAACCAAATAAAAAATAAACAATGTGATGTAAGAAATCCAACCAAACTCGACCTATCCCCCTGATAATCCAAGAGCCATACCTCTCTGCCACTAACCCCCATCAACGACAGAGGAAAAAAAAGGGAGAAGAACCATTCGAAAAAGAAAAATAGAGAAAAAGAAGAGGAAACAAAAAAATCGGGGAAAGCAACCATTCGGAAAAGGAGAAAAAAAGAGTAGGTTAGGAAAAACACAGAAAATCAAAAACAAAAAGATAGAATCGAAAAGAGGAGAAGCTTATCGTTCGGTCGAAGCCTCTCGCCGATGGTGGGAGTCTACGTCGGTCAATCCGAACAGTAAAAAAATCAGGAGTAACCCCTGAAACGTCATACCTCAGCCGCGGCTCGATCCAACAACAGACGGAAGAGATCAAAGCTCGAGAAGTGGAGGAATTCTCGGCCCATTTCACGACGAAGGAGGTCGAATCTCACGAAATGAAGCCCCGATCCAGACTCACCGTGATGAGATGAGCCACCCAGTGAAATTTGGTGGCCAGCAACCACCGATAACGGCGGTTGACACGGTAGTCGACGATGGACGCCGCCACCACCAGGCACTCCCAGTTTAGAGAGAAGGGAGAGAAAAACTAGGGTAGAAAGAGAATAAAAGATGTAAAAAAAACTCCCTGCTGCCGAAAAATGACTTCTTTTAAAGCAAGGTAGGGCAACCCATTTTAGAGCATAGAGTAAATATTGTTCTAGGTCATCCGAGTTTTGTAAGCTTTCATTTCAGTCCTTAAATAAAACATGGGTTATTTCTGAGTTTTAACTTCGAGTTTTTTATTTTTACATTTTCATCATCGTATGCTTTATTAATATCGTTTGGTTAAATAGCTAGTTTAATTCATTAATTTAACATTGTTATATTTTAGTCCTTATTTGTAATATTGCTCAAAATTGTTGTATTTATATATTAAGAACTTCTAATTTTGTTTGTGTTTGTTTTAACCACTGCTTAGTATAGAATAATATGAATGCATAATTCAATATTTTTCTTGTATTTTTAGTATTTTAAATATAGTCGTTGTGTTATTTTATATGTATGTTTATACCTTTGAGTATTGGTGTTTTGTTGTGGATTCATTTTAGTCACTTATTTTGTTAAATCATTAGGAAATAAAATGGGATTAATCCCATAATGATTATCTATTTTCTTTATTTACTTTGATTAAGCCATATGTTCATTTATTATTCTTTAAAGGTGTATGTATCTAACATAATTGTTTTGTTAACTTAATTTTATATATTGTTAATCCTAAATTGTGTATGTGTTTACGTGTATATATATAAATATAAAGAACACATTTTTTATTTATGTGTCAAGCTTATATTTATTTATTTTAATAATAAATTTATATATTGTATTTTTTTAATAAAATATGAATATATTTTATTAAATATTTTTTATATATTTGAATGTCTACATAATATATTTTTAACAAGGCGATCTATTCGATATTTTTGAAAAGCTTTGAAATATTCGATTGTTCGGTTAACTTATGAAAGACCTTCAAAGACATGGAGTGCCCTTTCCAAGGGTTATTCAAATAAAAATTATATTTTATCGTTTATTATTTATTTGTCATGTACGTGGATATTTCATCTATTTTGTACATTACATTCATTACTATTGCACTCATCAATCATGCATTTGATTACTCATTTTCCACAAGATTCCAAAGTAATATCTTGCGTCACGAGTTAACGAAATTTTTCCAAGATAACTGGATTTTAATTTCTATTAATTCACGTAGCTAAAGGAAACTTTTTTTAAATAAAATCGAGTGAATTGAATCTTTTATCGAATAAAATATTTTAAAAAATGAATTCATTCTTCCAAAAAAATATCATAGAAATAAAAAGAATCATAATTTAAATTTCGAGTTTAAATTTGTAAAATTTCATCGTTTTCGACAACGTATAATCGAGAGGTATCAATCTTGGGTATTGTGAGGGTGTTTACCCTTTCCCACGCGTAACAGACTCTCAAATCCTTAAAAATAAATTTATGATTAAGCGCATACCAATTTTCGTCTTTAAATATTTTTTTCTAAAATTCATTTAAAAACATTTTTTGTATATTCGACTTGTCTAATTAAAATGTCGATAACGACTCCAATATTTTCAGAATTAATTCGATTTAAAAAATAGCATTCTTCAAAAGTCGTGTCGTTGTCCCGGGGAAAATAGTGACGACAAACACGTGTTCCCAGACAATGGGTTTATTGTTGTTTAATAAAGAGAGAGAGAGAGAGAGAGAGAGAGAGAGAGAGAGAGAGAGAGAGATGAAACGCTGTCCATCGAAGAGAAGAAAGAGTTGTTTAGGGTTTTGTGAAAGTCAGAATATAGTTTACTTAACGAACTGGTATTATTAAGCAATCAGTTCACCCAGAAAACTGTGGGAGAAGATGATCCGTTCCATCACAAGTTTTTAGAAAGAAGATGGTACTGTTATCGTTAAGGCTTGCTTCTAAAAGGGATATTTTGAGGATGCACTTGTTTTGTCAATGCTTCTGCCATTTTTCCTCGGAACTCATACCTTCCATCCGTTAAAAGAAGCTTTTACACACAGATATGAATAATATTTATTTAATATCGCTAAAAGATTCTTTTATAAATATTCCATCACCTTTTGTCTTTATTCTTTAAAAGTATTTTTCTAAAAAATTATAATTCAAAACTTATTAAGTGAAATTTAATAACTTCAATAGGCGTGTTTGTAGTACTTTTATTATATTAATATTTTTTATTACTAAAAATATTTTCATTTTCATTATATAACTTAACTATTAATTTTATTTAATTTAATAATTTTTGAATTAATATAAAATTAAGGAATATTGTACGTAACTGAATTCTACTTCTAAGGAGCTTTGTAGAAATTGTCTTACATTTATTTTTTTCTGTCCTACATTTAAAAACGACATTACATAAGATTGATTGTATTCGGAAATCTTCTTGTACTATCTTTCTGTACGAAGAAATAATTACCTTTTGTACGTCTTTTTAGATTATTACATATGATAATATTTGCCTAGATCAGTGGTATACTATGGAAAAAAAAAAGAAATTAATAAAATATAAATCATTAAAAAATAATTGGGGAAATAAGATATAATATGCAACAATAATCAATAAAGTCGTCAATAGTTGAAGATAATATTAAAGAAGTCATCATTTATTTTTTTTTTCTTTTTACAATTTTGGGATCAAATTATAAATAAAGGAAAGTATATGAGCTAAAACAAGAACATTCAAAAGCCATCCCTTTAAGTGAAAATGGTGAGATACAAGGAATTAAATTTCGATGCTTAAACTATAAGTATAGTCTAAAACTTTGAACGGCGTAATTTGTGCTTATGGGTCTGATTGAAACACTTGCTTAAATTAATGTAACATTTTGAAATCAACATGCTTGCAAAGGTTCAAAAATATCTTGTCACTATTTTCATCATGAAAAATATCATTTTGAACTTTAATTTTAAAATTTTAAGTTATTGTCTATAATTTTAAATTTTTTCATCATTATGATCTTTAATTTTAAAATTTTAAGCTATTATCTATAATTTTAAAATTAACGTTTAACTTTTTATACATAATTATATAATTATTTATAAAAAATTAATACTTTAATTTTTTTTGCAAAATTCTATTTTTTTTTTATTTTGATGGTTGTAATTTAATTTAATTCATATGATACAAAATACAATTACTATCAAAATGACTTGCGAGCATCTCCCTGCGATTCCGACATAAATGATGACAAATTTAAAATGAATAAATAATATTTTAATACAAACTAAATGTGCAATTTTACTTTAAATTCATATTTAATCCTTTAAACACATTATTTATTTACAGAGATAATTGCTAAAATTTTATATTTTAGTTTTTATACTTTTACTTTTTATAATTTAATCTCAAAATATAAAAGAACAAAATCATTAACAATTATTAATAATTTTATTAAAATGTTTTTAACTATAAAAGAATTTATCGATTACTATAAAATTGACCTTGTTTCTTTAAATAATTCATCATAATCCATATATATATATATATATATATATATATATATATATATATATATATATATATATATATATATATATATATATATATATATCGTCTACAATATACCCCTAATTTTACCCTAAGATTTTGATTTTCAATATTATATAATTTTCTCATATGTCGCCAAAAGCTATATATAAATAAGGATGACTAAATGCGAGAAAATCTCACATGCGACAGTCTTAATATACGACTAAGGAAATGCGTTATCGGTTTTTTATTATTTTTTAATATTTTTGGTAAAAAATTATCAAAAAACATTATTATTTCTACCGGTTTTGTTATTATTGAACGTTTTACCGGTTTTGTTAACATATTCAATAAAGTGCTACCTAAAATATATTTTTTACTGATTTTTTTATTATTGGACACTGTACCGGAAATGTTAAAAAATATTAATATTTTAGATAGAAATAATAATATTTTAGATAAATTTTTACTGAAAATATTAAAAAGATATTAATAAAATCGATAACATCTTTCTTTAACCGTAGTAACGCCGTTGCACGGTACATTCTATACCAAATGCATTGAATTGATATAAGAGTAGTCAGATCATATGATTAAACTAATCATCACCACTCTCAGTATTAACGATCGCGGACCAATGGATTTCAGCCATGTGAGCTTACTGCCTCCCCTGCCTTTTGCCTTTTCCATGCATTTTCTATTTTTCTTGGATAATAAATAGAAAATAATATTATTACACTCTCCTTGTATTTACATTATCGATCGTCCAGTTATTAATAAACTTTTATTTTTTGTGTATTTAATTTTGAACTATGGCATGTACCGTAAGTTCTTAACGGAGTTAACAACTACTTTTATTTTTTTTGGATACTATTCGTCTTCTTACTATATATATTTTCAAATTTTAAAATAACATTTAAATTGTTCTTTGGATGAAAAAAATATTGATTAATTATCTAAAATACATAATTTTAACATTCAATCAAATATGTCAGTAACTTTTATGATACACTTAAATAAACACATAATGTAAATAAAGTTCTCATTTGAAACAACTTGATTTAGCAAAGTAGATTTTTAAAGGACCTAGATGTAATTTCATTACATGAACCAAGGAGCCAAAATAAAATATCCAGCCTATATTAAATTATAATTTTTCAGTAACCAACACAATTATCCAATCCAGTAATTTTGTTTAAATATAATATTTGAGTTATTTAGATTTTATTCATTCATAAATTAAAAAACAATGTGAATTTAAATTTAATTTTATTTAAATATTACCATAATAATTATACAAATATGATTAACTCCTAATGTTGAATATTGACCTTGCAAGGAACCAAATCAATTAAAAAAATGGGGTACCGAAATTTTGGAAAACAATCAGCCTGATATTGTTGGATTTTTAAAATGGTAAAAATGCAACTTTTAGTCATTGTACTTTAGGGTATTTATAAGATTAGTCCTTAAACTTCAACTATAAATACATGTCGTAACCGTCTTTCGGTTGGTTCCCGAAATTGGGCTTCGACTTGAAAAATGTGATTGGAGTCGCCACCGATTATTTATTTAAAAAAATAAATAGGTTAATCGGATATCTTATATCTTACCTGATCTGCGTCTTTCCAAAGATATGTCGGGTTCGGGAGTCGATTACAGTCAAGGAAGGATTAGCACCCTTGAACTGCCCTTTCGGTACTACGTAATTTCCAATTGTCTTTGATTAAGAAAATTATAAGTTTAAATTAAAAGATAAAATAATGATCCAAAATTACTTACCTTTGACGGATTTACAAATATACCCTTTAAAAGTCAAAATATGGGTTAGAAGAGATGAATAAATATATAAAACAAATAAAATAAGGAGATTAAGAAAGAAATAAAGTAAATATAAAATGAATAGAATATATAAAATAAAAAAACAATAACACTAATATATACATAGCAAACAACTAAATAAAAATAAAATGATAATGCAAATAAATAAATAAAACAAGCAAAAAGAATATAAAAACATAAAATATAGGATAAATATAAAAAGAAAATAGATAAATAAATGAGTAAAATATATAAAAAAGTAAAAGCATATATATATAAGTAAAATAATAATAATAATAATAATAATAAATCAAAAGTAATATACGTATATATACATGCAAAATAGGAAATATATAAATATATATATATAATAACACTAATAAAAAAACATATATACATATATAATAAAATTAATAGAAAGTAATATGCATGTATAACAAGAATAATAAAGTAGGAAAAAAATGATTTAGGGGGGAGAATTAAATATTTTAAAAAAATGAACACGCCTCGGGGGTAGATCTAGATTCGAAACTTCGAAATCCCACCCCTTTTTGGTCATCGGCGCAACCCACGTTTTGGGTTATTCGAACCAAATCTCAAGAAAAATAACGTGCACATGCGAGAAATGAACGAACCAAGGTAAAAAAAGATGCTACCTTTTATTTCCTTTTCGAATCGTTTACAACAACTTTGCCTTTGTATGTTCCGTGTTTTCCTCTGTGTTTTGTGTGTAAATCGTGTGTTCCAATAGTGAGCTACAATGGCTATTTATAGTGCTTGTGGATCCTATCTTTAGGAGTTTAAAACATAACAAAATTCTATCCTATTTTAGGAGTTGAATCCTAGTAGGACGAAAAAGGTGTGTTGACAATACCCTAGTTCATTTAGCTTCAAAACTATCCCAAAGCATTCTAGATTTCTTCCAATACTAGAGAATTTAGAGAGTTTCTTGAGAGTTGTTTTCTCCTTTTTATCAAGAGAGAATTATCATTGTTTTCTCCTTGGTAGATCGAGAGAAGTTGTAATTCCTATTTTCTTATAGTGAAATTCTTCTACCGTTGCCCGTAGTTTTTACCCTATATTATTTAGGGATTTTCCATGTAAATTTTGTGTCTCTTTTAACTTCATTTTTATTTTCTCAAATTATTAGTTGTGATTTTACTCTATCCGATAGCCGTCTTCCGCAACAATTGGTATCCGAGCCAGATTTGAGTGTGTAATATCTACTTATTGTCTTTGTGGTTGCCACCAAAAGGTGGATCCTCCAACATAAGAAAGTAAGAAGTTATTACCCATTCTTTAAAGGTTCTAGAAAACTATTCACGATAGTGAAATAGTGGGAGCTATCCGTAATAAAAGTTATGGCAAAGAAATTTGATATTGAAAAATTCAATGGGAGAAATTTCTCATCGTGAAAATTGAAGATGAAGGACATCCTGAGGAAAGACGGTTATCTAGCAGCTATCAGTGACCGATAGATTTCACAGATGACAACAAATGGATAAAAATGTACGGGAATGCTATGACAAACTTTCATCTAGCATTAGCAGATGAAGTATTGTCAAGCATCGAGGATAAGAAGACAACTAAGGAGATATGAGATCATCTCACCAAATTGTACGAGGCCACATCCTTGCACAATAAAATTTTCCTTAAGAGGAAATTGTACACTCTCCGTATG